ACATAGATATATAAAGAGATACATATATGTATATACTTTTTATATATACATTTATATGTGTGCATACATACATATATATTACAGCTCAAACATTGATTTGATTATAATTTATGCTGCTGGTTTCATGGCTTATCATGTTTGGTATTCTACTATTTTCAGGCAGCTCCATTTTCTTTTCCTTTCATTTAGAGATTTTATAATGTGAGAAGGTTGGTATTATAGGATGGCTCTGTTGAATGTATGATTGATTTGCACCTTGTTTTGTGATTTGGCTACTTTGAGTTTTTACTAAATTATTATTTTGCCTCCCCCAATGTTCTGTTCTACATTACCAGGAAATTGTATAGTTTCTATAACAGGTCTAATGAAAAAGCTCAACTTCATATTCTAAAGAAAGTGCAATTTTCTCTCCAATATTTCCTTTAATTTGACTTAATGAGATTTTTTTTCTAGGCAAATTAAATCCTCCCCAACCCCATTCATGTATTTGGGGGGCAGAAGCCAGGAGTAACAAAGGAGGCTTTGTCCATGTCCTCTTTTCTTTCTCTATCATAAGCCCATGAGGAGCTGTTGTTGTTCTTCTCACCAGGGTAGAAAACAGAAGGAAAGGGAAAGAAAGAGTTAGTTTTAATATGTCTGGTATATGTGATAAGCTAGTGTCTCTGTGTGGGTCTGCAGATGATTAGTGCTAACATTTCCCTCCTGAGATCCTTTGAACTCTTTAAGTGAAATCTGTTAAGTTTTCCTGCATTTCCTGGATGAGAACTGGAAAATTCTCACAGTTCATCTCCAGTCTTTGTCTGCTAGGAGTTTCTTACTCTTCCATGAGGATCTTTCAGATAAAACCCAGGAGGTAATGCTGGTCCTCCTGTATGGTTCAGATCTGGTCCACAAGGAAGCACAAATGCATCCATGAACCCTTCCCTTAGGCCATCTCTCAGGCTCCCTGCCTCCTACATGAAACCAAGGAGAAGCCTCCATCCAGCCTTCCTTGGTGAGAGTCAGACAACTGTGTCTGCAGACTATTACCATGTTCTCAGATGCAATTCCAGACCCCAGACTTGTGTCTGCCAAATGTGAATCTATTTGAGATTCCCAGTGGTTTTGTTGAGGTGTTCTCTACACCCATATGAGAAAGTAGCCTTCTTAAAAACTTATTGCAGAATTTGGGAAGGGATTCAGAGCAGAGCAACTGTTTTCTCTGAAAAAATCTGAGCACTAGTCCAATCAGGAAACTTCTCACTCTTCCTTTAGATCTTTACATAGTGCTAATGAAGTTAAAGCCTCGAGGAATCTTGGGTCACCCTTTACAATTGTAAAACTATGTGTGAGGAAGGTTTTTCCATGACCAATGTTGTGTCTCAAATTAGTTGCTCAGTGAACCTGAAGCAGTCTGTCCCAACTAGTAAATCAATTAAGTCCTTACCTTCTGTCAAAGCCAGTACGACAGGTCATGATAATAAGTATTGTACATATATAAAACTGTTCCCTGATAAAAATAGGTTTAGAAATATTAGTAGACACAATGTTATTAAAATGTGTGTGCCATAAATTTGTGTGCCATAAATATTCAACAAGTTATTTCTTCTCTCTATGCCAAGCCTCCATGTATTTTAAATTATTTATGTTCAAAGGAATTAGCTTTGAGAAATACCTATCTAAAAAACTCTCCACTATGACCATTCCTTTCTTTTTTAACTGACCTTAAGTTATTACCCTCTTTTATAGGTACACCTGCAGTTTTTCTTGCCTTCATGAAGTGAGACTTCTTTTGATCATCTTGTTTCATTATACTACTAGATCTTAATTCATATATTTGAATTGTTTCGTGTGAAGCCTACTATTATTTTTTCTTCTTGTCAACTTTTTTTCCTATCAAATAATTACAGGACCAAGAATTTATGTGTGCATGTTTTCCTCTATAAAGAGCAAGGATTTTAGCACATACACATTATGAATTTAGAGAAAGATTTTCAACTTACTGTTATACTGATGCACATGGAAGGTTTTTAATATGGAATTTCAATATGACCAAAGAATCACTTTATTTGCAGAAATTATCAATTCCAAATATCTTAATACACTCATTAGCTTACTGAAACTGGGGAGTAGATTGCATAAGTGCAAAGCAGATAGAGAATAGGTTGTTTAAACAGAATCTGTTTTTTTAATGGTTGAGCCAATCTTCTAAGTGAATTACTATGTGTCAGTTTACCAAAATTAAAATCCTAAAAACTTCAAAAAGGACAAAAGTGATTCCATTTTGTTCATCTTGAAAAAAAGTTTCTATGATGCCCATTAAACACCTTTTGAACTTAAAGATACCTTTGTTAAAGTAGTCTCTCAACCAAGAAACCAATGGGTATATAATCATGTATAAAATATGGTTGAATTGTACAATTTCATGTAATAAAGCTGAAAATATCAGAAAAGCCTGAACGACAAATATGAATGATTTTAGTTAATGATTTATAGGTCCTTATTCTGTCCTGTAAATGAAGATCTACAGTCAGGACTATTGCATAAATTTCTTATTCCATGGAACTTTTTTTTTCCTTTGTAAATCACCCTAGTCTTTC